GGAAGCCATGCTGCAACAGTTGTGTGCGCACTGCCGTGCGATTACACATGACGAGGAGCTGCGCCGTCGCACCTTGATTGAGGTCTCTATAACACTTTTGTAGGTAATTGAGAAAGACCACAATATCCTCAATAGCTGCCAGGAGGTCTCTGGAATATTTAGGTACTTCCCAGAACACCGTACGGAATCCTCCCTGCCCAACCGTGTAATCGTGGGGGACAAAATGGCCTATTTGTATGGGATCCTGATCATGGAGCACCAATTCCGGGTATCGGACTGCAACAATGGCTTTATACGTCAATAGGGAGACTCTGGAGCTGTTTGGCAGGATGATGCCCCATCGATGCGGACCATCCAGGCCGGCTGCTTCAATCGTAGTTGTACACTCAGGGATGCCAAATTCTTCTGGTGCCGTTGCAATGAGCAAGACAGCCAGTATCGCAGAAATCAAGCAACTCTGAACATTCAGGTGGTTAAGCGTTTCCTCACTGAAAAGGCGTGCCAAGGATATTGGTAACTGTTGGGCAGTTGTCGCCGTTACCCAAGTCCCTGTATGCGGTGCTTGGCCGAGGTTGAGTAGCCGCGCCACTTCCGAATCATTGTCCTGGCTTGCATCCGGCCACAGGAGTGCAATTAACTTGGGGAGCCGGGCAGGAGGCAGATAATCTCCAGGGCGATTCAAAGCCCGTAGTCCCAGGGGACGGTGGAGAAGCTTTTGTCTGTTCGCTGCTGCCGCCCTTCCCTTGGATAGACCTCCAGGCGTTTGCCTATGGTCGCCGACAAACACTAACAGTGCTGGTTGCTGGATTGCAGCAAGTGCGGCAATTTCATGGTAGTTGCCGTACTGTTGACTTTCATCCATAAATGCAAGCCAGACTTTAGAGAGCCAGAGACTAAAGGACGAATATTTCATGGCCATCTCCGCCGTAGCCGAGCCACCCGTTGCAATCAAGATGCGTTTCTCAGCAATAACCTTATTGCGATCACTGCATCGCACATCAATTTTTGTTGCATACGCCTCACCTTTCCCTTCTTCGATGCGACCTAATAGCCGTCCAAAGGCACTTCGTGTGGGGGGAGCAAGGTCACTGATTTGGTCTGCCAAGGCTTTTGCAGCAACATTTTCTTTGGTGTACACTATGGCATAGAAATCACTGAGCTCGCAGCTGAGGGCAATTAGCAAAACCGCCAACGAACGTGTCTTACCGGCACCAAAAACACCTGCAATGCACAGGTCAGAGCGGCCAGTGAGGATCGCCAGGAGCAATGCTACTGCTACCGTAAGGACGTGCCCATCCCCATGCGCAGCCAATGGGAGTAGGCTATTACGCATATATTCATCATGCGGGCCAGGGATGGCAACTCCGATAGGTGTCAGTAATCGACAGAGCACTCGGACCAATGCGTCCGTCAGCTTCGTACGACGTTCGCTCATCATTCTTCTCACTGGGATGTTGGGCTGCAAAACGCCCATCGTCAGCGGGAGGCGTGCCGGGTTTGCCTGTGCGAATACCAGCAATTCACATCTGCTTCTAGTGTCACCAAGGAAAGCCATTTCTTCCATCACAACTGAAAAGCTTGCATGAAAGACAATGGGCTTCGGCCAGTCTCGTTCGGGGTCAAAGTATTCCACTTCCGTTGGCTGTTGCGCTAAGAGGCGGCCACAAAATGCAAACGCAACTGACTTGGAGACCAGGACTAGCTCAAGGGATTTCGGGGCGATTCGCCGGAATACGTGGGAATCAGCAGCACGACTCGTACCTTGCATTACTTTTTCTTGGACTATGAAGATGGCACAACGACGCGGGCCCTCTGGGAGCTGGAAGCGCCCAAACAAGGCTCTCCCTGCCATCACATTGGCTTCCATGCTTCCCAAGCTACCATGTTGGCACAGACTCCATGGTGACGCGGAAGGAACCGCCTTCGGGTCACTGAAAAGCAAAAGGGGATTGCAGTCAGTGATCAATTGCATTACATGAAATCCCGCAAAGGCCTCATAGCCGTATCGGACCACCAGTTCAACTCCCGGATGACCTCGCTCTTGTCGTTGTGCCAACAACACACTCGTCCAAGGGTGCAAGTGTTGTAGTTGACGACCTGCATGGCACGCATCCAGTTGAGGCAACACCATATCGAGGAGGAAGATCAATATGCGCAGAGGGAACCCACGGAGGAATTCGGTGAGCAGGTTTCGCATAAGCGCTCCACCTTCTGCATTCGCCTGCCCAGGAATTGGGATCATGTCAATCAGGATTTGTCGGAGATCCTGCTCTGTAGCAATAGGATTATCACGGACATCCCTGTCATCCCATGGCACCATATGCAGATCAGCACATCCCTGGCCAGCAGCCTGCAGAAGTGAACTAAGGGTCCGTTTGCAGTGGTCAGGGAGATCAAAGCTAACCCATGAGAGCACTCGTAGGAGCCCCTCGCACCGTACTCCGTGTGGTATGACCTCAGGGGTCGTTATCTGGAGGTAGTCAATATGGTAGGTGCCTTCTTCAATTGATGTAAACAATAGATGCCCATAAGAATGTCGCGCTCTGCCACCCCAGGAAGGCTGCCCATCAATGAGTACGACATCATAGCTGAGGTCTGTAAGGGTGGTCGGACGCCACACGCAGAGTCGGTCTTCAAGGCAGTGGAGAAGAATAACTCTTCGTTCCCCAGTTGCTAGCCTCAACATTTCTGGTGGAGTAGCAATGGCAGCAACCTTTGTGGTACCTGGGAAGCAATCGAATTCATTGAGCACTTTGTGGAGAGCCAGTCCAGTGTATGATCCAGCCGAGAAACCAAGAATATCAATGTCTCTTATGCCGTCTGGGATGGACGCTGGGATGGACGCTGTCACAAGATGGGGGAAACACGCCCGCACCAACAGCAGTTTGCCTTGTGGATGGTAGCATCTAAAGATTTGACGAACCGCTGTGACCCATGTAGGGTGAGGAGGTCTCGCATGTGCCGGCCGTATGGTAGCAGCCGTCAGCAGCCGTATGGCACGGGTGATCAAAAGCTTGAGGTTCGCAAATCTGTCCGGCAGAAATTCCTTCCATGCACCCCATCCCACTGCAGTGGAGAGAAGCTGGTAGATTGCATACTCATGCGTTGTTTTGGTCAACCCGAGTTGGGTGATGTGCTGCTCCCAGTCATCCGTCATTGCCAGCGAAGGGCCATACACTTTCATTTGCGCATGGTTCTGAAAGAACAGGTCGTATTCATGATCAGGGCTTAGCAGTCCGCCTCCCAGTCCACTGCAATGTACAGTAAGAGGTCGATCTGGCATAGGGGAGTCCTCTTGCCACAGGTTGTTCATCGAGAAGATCCACTGCGCCCATCTCTTCGGCCGGTCAACCCGAGACTGAGGAGTTCTTCAAGGACTTTCATTTGTTTGAGACAAGATCTAGAAACCGCAAAGAAAACGCAAACAAACCAAAACACAAAAAACAACTGAAACTTCAATCCTCCCGCTTGACCATGTCTCGCTTCCGATCTCAGAACGCACTCCCTTTTTCATCTGCTGGATGGTTTGTCCCACTGTTGGATCCAGTTTGGATTCGACCACACTTCAATCGAAACCATTTGACCAGATGGCATCAACAACCCATTCGGGTGAGATGACATCACCGATGCACGATTGTGCATTGTCACAGATGCAGTCACAACACTGAACGTGACTTCACGTCACTCGGCTTTGAAGTGCAACGCACTGTAAAGAACCAGGAGCACAAAGGCTTCGTAGATGAAACAAACTTCGGAGCAGCAAAAAGAGAAATGGGATGAGACAGCGAGATCGAACCCTTGATGCAATATTGATCAAGAATTGAGAACAAGGTGAGGGAGGGAGGGAAACGAAAAATGTATACGCACAAATGAAAGTCCTTGAGCCAAAATGGAATAGAAACACAAAGAAGTTCCTTGCAAAACACAATGAACAAGTACATTAAACGTTCTTCAAGGACTTTCATTTGTTTGAGACAAGATCTAGAAACCGCAAAGAAAACGCAAACAAACCAAAACACAAAAAACAACTGAAACTTCAATCCTCCCGCTTGACCATGTCTCGCTTCCGATCTCAGAACGCACTCCCTTTTTCATCTGCTGGATGGTTTGTCCCACTGTTGGATCCAGTTTGGATTCGACCACACTTCAATCGAAACCATTTGACCAGATGGCATCAACAACCCAAACAACAACTATCTGGTATAATGGTTATCGCCCAAGCACTCCCAAACTAGAAGTGAGAACCATTCCAGCAGATCACATCGCAAGAGGATGTGGGAGTTTCCAAAGGAGTTTTGAATCAGGAGGATGCAATGTTGGGTGAGGTGAACAACGAAATAGTTGATTGAGTGAAAGATGAATCCTTTCACTTGGTTGAAAATCATGTGGGATGGGAGTGGAAAAATCCCATCTGCTCAGATCATCCGCTATGACATTGTCCGCGCCAGGAATATGGCTCACATCCAATTCAATACCCGTTGTCGAAGCCAGGCACGTGAGGATCTCGACAAAGAGACATAGAGGATGAGTCGTAGTGAATAATTTGTTGCTCACGCTCTCAGCTCCCGTATTGTCGCTCAGGGATTTCACACAAATAGGAATACGAAAACCAGGAAAAGATGTGGCCACCAGCCAAACTAAAGCAATTTGGGCTAAAGTTTCAAAAGAAGCAATGCTTCGTTGCATATTTGGGTCCAAATGAATTGACAAAATGTCAAAATCAGCATGGGAAAATTTCTCAGAAAACCAAAATTGGACTCCTGAAGGATGACGGATGAAACCTCCAATTTGACAATAGGAACCCGATGCACATGCATCGGCTGCCGCAACGCCATTCCAATATGGCTTCGCTCTCATTGGTCGAGATGGAGAAACACCCATCAGCCAATGTTCAAATAACTTCAAAATGCGAAGAGAATCAGGACGAAGCTTGCGTTTGGAGGAATTCGGATTGATAATCCGTAGCCAAATCCTGTTATCTGTTTTGATATGTAACGATGTCAGATCCGCCAATGAGGATACCGCTTGATGTCGAACAGCAATAAGCTTACCTGAAATAGGTATAGCTGAGCCCAAAGGTGCTGTATGAAAAGTCAAAGTAGGTGTTAAATATTGATGAATGCGAGGCCATGTACCAGCATCAATACTGAAATGTGTCGCCGGGATGGTGTAGAGGTCGTGGTACCAATAGTGGATCCAGATCCGCATAAGTGGAAATAATTGAGTAATCCACATTGCCAGGCCAATAAGTTTCTCCAAAGACTTACGAGTAGTTCGTGGCTGGGAAATAAGATGTTCGATGTATCCTCAGAGTTTGAGGATCTTTTCAATGGGGATTGTCACGATACCTGCATTGAAATTGAATTTCCAGCCAATATAGTCAATGGAAGAGTGCATGGCCGTCTTCTTCCAGCTGATAGGAATTTCCAAAAGCTGGCAGAAAATACACAACAATGTGGCTGATAGCGGCATCATGTTGGCTTCCATAAAGAATAAGAAGTCATCCACATATAGAAATCCAGCGTGACTCAACCAGATTAAATGGTGAAAGATACGGAGAAGGAGGCCACCCAATCTCGCCCACCAAAAGGCAGAGAAAACTGCACCAAATGGGGTAACTCTATAGAAGAAAAGCTGTCCCTCTAGCGAAAAGCCCACCAATCCGCATTCGTCCGGATGAAGAACTATTCTTTTATGAGCAGCCTTAACGTCTAAAGAAAAGCCCATTAGATTCCTCTGACACTGACGTAGAGGGTAGCTACGTAACACCTCCTTGGCAGTCGGGAGGGTGGACCTCTCAGGTATGATACACCGACCGTTGAGGCCGCATACGCTGGAGTCTACAACTAATCGGGGGGCTCGACTATCCGAGCGAGCCACGCCCAATTTTCCAATAGCAACTCCGGCCGGATATTCTTGTTGTGCTTCTTCCAAAGAACCTTTATACGGAAACACCCAACCCTTGTCAATTTCTTCCTGAACCAGGTCTCGGGTGAGTGGTAGATCTTCTTCAGCGCTCTGCCAGTTGGAAAGGTGAGCTGACAATGGATCGGGTTCTATGTCCGTACGTTCTTTGGGTGGAAAAATACCCGACGGAGGAATCGCTGTGGAAAAACCAGTTCTAACACCTTCTAATAGACTGGGCAATAATGTAAAATCGACGTCATGCATAATCTTTTGGAAAGAATGTAAAATATGAAGATGTATTGGTTGATGTTGTCGAACTGACCAATCTGGTGTATGTCCATGTGCCTCCAAGAATTGCTCCAGATCAGCCTTGAATGGGGTCAGGATTTCCACCGAAAAAGGCGGTGACGGGTTGCCCGAAGCCACATGCGCCAGTAGGATCTTATCCAACCGCTCAGAGATGATCCTGTTCATCCACGAAGTACGCAGAGTCTTGAACCAGTCGTGTTCTTGACGATTATCCTGACTCCAGTCCGGGTGGGAAAAAGCTCCACCCACATCCATTTGCGAAAATGGATACTCCGACAGTTGCTTGGTGGGCATGAGGGCATCCAAATCTGACCATTGGAGGTCCAACCCTGATGTGTCCAGTAATGGGGCCACAAGATTGGCAAACAATTGTGCCAGTTTCAGTGGGTATTGTGCCGTCGCCCTACTGGCAAAAGCACCAGAATCGTCTCGGAGACCTTGAAGACGAACATGAGAATTAGGGGGATGTTGACAAATGCAGCCTAATGGTCGAAGACCTGTAAAACTCGAGGCAAACATCCAGGCTTTGTAAATATCCATCTCATAGGCGCAAGCGGCCACGTTGATACAGGAAGCCCCAATCAATTGCAGAAATTGGCGTACTACCTTCTCTAACCATGACATGGCGTTCAAGGGTTGTTCAAGGTGGACGTGCCCGCCTGCTTGAAAAACCAGGGTGAGGACCTCAACGCAGCGAGAGAGCATCATAAAGCTCTCTTGGACACGTTGCAGTTCCCAGGGTGTGAGATTGGGCAGACCAGACAAGTGCTCTGGTGATCGTAGAGCCTTGGGACCGTCATCATCTCGAAGTTTGAGTCTGCTGTATTCACAGCAGGAAGGGCTGGCCGCTCCATAACCAACCTGACCACTGGATGCGACACGCAACAGATCCTCATAGGCCGCATCTGACAAAATATCCATAGAAGAATCCAATAAAACATCAAAGGAAAGAACTGAGTGGCCATGCTCCAATACAGCTGTCGATAACGGACGTGTAACACCTGAACAAATATCGAGAAAAAATTTACCTGAGGGAACTGTTTTTAAAATTGAAGTTGAAATGGTTGGTGGAATTGACGTAGAGGAAACCAAGGATTTCGCTGTGACGGGGACGGTGGCAGTGATATCTGTTTCCGCATTCGCCTGCTCGGGTTGGGACAAACGGCCCCGGGTAAAACTATCACTAGGTGGAGCGAAGTCTTGAACTGGGTCCACGTCATGCACTGGGAGAGTCTCTACGGAGTCAACCTCATTGAATGGATCATGCATGGTGAAACCTGGGTCACAATCTCCTTCGGGGAGTCAGTGCGGGGTGGCAAAATGGGACATCGCCCCATGATTTTTGCCACAGGCTTTTCCATCAACTGGGTACGCACACAAATGCTGAAAGCCACAGTTGGGAGTCTGACACTTGCCCACCTGATATCGCATGCAGAGTTGCTTGAAGCCACCATCCCGTTGAATCTCCGTGAGCCATTGGACCTTGCCCTTGGATTTCCCGGAATTCTGCTTGCCCTTTGACTTCCCTTGGCCTTTGCCTTTCGGTCCATCACCCCGAGGGGAAGCTGTCTGAGAAGATGGTGATGGGAGTGGCTTGAACACGCGAGGTCGTGGTTGAAGGAGACTTGGTAGGTCATGACGTAAATTCGTCATTTCATGCAAGCAGTCATCCATGTTCCATCCTCGTTCCATGAGCTCGGCAATGACTGTCCAAATTTTTTGGTCCGCATGTTGAGCCTCCAATACACTGGTGTTACGTAAATCTCCATCATACTTGGCGGTCAAAAACCCGATGAATTTGTGGGTATAGGCCTTGAGATTGGCAAGGTGAGCGCCTTGGCACAAGGCAATGGCCCGATCATGAACTTCGAGCATATTGCGAATCGAGTTCACCCCCATGGCGTTGTTGGACACGTCGATTGAGGGAGGATCATCAAATAATAAGGAGTGTAACCCCAAGTGGTCAATTTTTGGCATCTTCTGAGCTCGATTGCTAGAAATCTCCTCTGACCTGGTGAGCGAGATGCGATACTTCCATGGCACCCATTTCCAAACCTTCTTGGAGAGCTGGTCATGAACCAGGCTCACTAATCTGGTCGACGGAAAAAGGTCTGCATGGATCAATTCCGATGGATAGTTGGCCATGAATTTTTGTTTCATCGCCTGCAATACGGCATTCTCCAATTTGGGAGGAAAGGCTTCTGCCCAAGACCCCGCTGGCGTGGTAGTGCTCAATGTTGGGGTTGACACAGCCGATGCACTAGGTCCTTGTTGAGGTTGGAGAGACTGAAATGCCGTACGGAGGCACGCCTTTTGGAATGCCGACAAAGGAGTAGAAGACGACCATTCCTGGAGAACATCTTCAAATCCATGAATGTCAGCTGCTGCCATGCGAAGCGATTGATAGGACCACCCCTCCATCATGAGTGAGCTCGTGAGGGCCGAGTCCACCCCACTCTGTATCAAAACATCTTCCAAATTGTCAGACGCCATGGCACCACCACGTAGACAAAGGAGAAAATAGCTTAGGAGCCACGAACCACAAACAGTATCCCTTATGTTGAGGGGAAAGCAAAAACTTGCAGAAGAAAACTTGACAGCGCCATTTGACGTTTGACTAACCATGAAAGGGGTGGATACTCCATAGTGGAACCCCTAACCTAAGTGCATGTTGTTGCACAACTGATTGTTGACCCACCGGGTTCACTCGAGCCATCACCGACGGCAACCATGACGATATGACACGTCACTCACACCGTGAGTGCCGCTTCAACCACCGGTTGAAAAAGAAAATGATGAATTGACCACCGGTCAATGTAAGACTCACACCGTGAGCGAATAACCTCAACCACCGGTTGAGAAACTGAATGACCACCGGTCATTGTGGTACTCACACCGTGAGTCCATAGTCAACCACCGGTTGAATATAACATGACAACCTGTCATTTCAACTCACACCGTGAGTAACCCTTCAACCACCGGTTGAAACGTAATGCCAACACCGTTGACATGTTAGGGGATACCATCCCCTATTGTACAAAAAATCTGAACCCCTCCCCTAGTCAAAAGAGGGGAAAATAACGCAAAAAGTACCCTATATGGATCTACTCGGTTAACCCTACCAGGGAAAACCGACTGCACCCAACAGGTCACCGACCCGTTGGCAAACACTCCAAGCACAAAATTTTTCATACCGCTTGGAATGGGACCTATCCAGATCCTTGCAGGAGCTGACAATTGTGCCAAACCTTCCTGCATGCTGCATGCTGGCAGAACGGCATAGTCGAGTCGAGTCTATCCAAGATCTCGGCTTCCACACCACGCATTTGCCTACCACAGGCAGGTTTGAGAGGCTGTCCTTGCCACCGAGGACGCCAATCTTCATCATCGCCGGCACGCACTAGTGCATGTACAACTGATCGATATCGTCCCACCAGGACTTCATCGACATCCAAAGGTACCACGTCCACCTTGGAAGTCTTGGGTCGAGGCTCCATAACCTCTTCATCCGACGATGAGTCCGATGAACTCTCAGAACTGCTGGTCGATGACTCCAAAAAATCTGGAGCTGGTGTCTCAGAGGACGCATTGAATTGAAACCACTGAAAATCAAACTGTGGGAGAGATTTGACAAATTTCTCCAAAACAACCTTGGGTTCGACCATAGGAGCCTGACTACCCCGATGCTGGGCAATGGCTGGACGCCATCCACTCTGAACCTCTTGTATCATCTTGCGCTGATACGTCAAGGACGTCCACACCACGTCACGTGAGTATGTGTCCAAACTGCTATTGGGATCCGAATGGTGTCCCTGAGACAAACGCTGTTCAGGGGTAACTTTCTCATGCAGCTGGGGTCCCCACGACAATAATGTCGCTTTGAGGGAGTGCAAAGTGAAGTTCAACTTCAAATGCTGCAAGGGGTCTGGTCGTTGACTCCAGGGGCAACCCAAAAATTTCCGTAGGTAAAATAACGCTGTAGCATAATCCATCGGTTGCAATGGATAAACTGGTCCATCCTCATCCATCAGTGGAAGAAGAAAATCAACCTCGGAGAGGCCTGATTTGGCCAATACCGTATCCAAAACCGTCAAGAACTTCCACAGCCAGTTGTGGGAGCCTTTGCTGAGGAAACCCTCCGCCGCCACTGCTAGGGGCATGCCGCTGACTGCTGTCTTGGAGCGCCATATCACCCCTCGCATGGTACCATCGTGATAGATGATCTTTTGGAGGTCTAACCTTTGCGCATCGGAAAAACGAAGGGATCCCCAGGCCATCAATAAAAATGTACCCAGTAGAATGATTTCTAATACCGTGCAGTTGGACATGAGCACACGACGCTCCCACTGCACCAATGCCCACAGAGGCAGAGGAGGTGCTTGTTTCCTATCCCTGGGCACCTTCTGGTTCAGAAAGGTTCCAATAAGAACTGAATGCACCACCTGTAAACATCCAACCTCTGCTGATTTCAATAGCCATCGAAGTGCTTTGATGACTGAACTGCAAGAACTACTGCCATGAGATGTAGATCTCGACAGTGACATTGTGATTAAAATGTCTGCCAATTGAACCTCAGTAAGGGATATCAGATCCACTTGTAACGCTTTGCAGGTCTTGAAAAAGGACTTGCAACTGGAAATATACTTCATAGCCGTGCCCGGTGCCACATTGTCCAAGATTCGGTTCAAATGCATACGTTGATGCTGTGACATACTCGTCTCTTGCCAAATTCTGGATAGTGGGCCCAGCTGTGATAACAAATCAAACCACATCTGACCGAGCACCGGTGACGCACTAGAAAAACGAACTCTGCTAATAGCCCCTGATTGACGTCTGGGAGGATGCAGTAACGTTGGAGAAGGCCGATTAGGCACAAAATCAACTGGTACTGACTCGGAATAACCCAAACATCCTTGAGGCTGAGGTAGTGCAACTCTCTGCTGCAACGTCGTCCAGCTCCGAATCACAGGTAAATTTTCTGGGGGAATTTGCAAAGGAGTAACCCCAGGTACAATGCGAATAGAATCAACAGGAAATGGATGGGGGGGAGGAACATTAACCCCCTGGTTTAAATCTGAAACCCTCAGGATACCTGGATGTCGCTGAGCTGAGGACTGTCCCGAACACCCCATAGTGCTCGTGACCACCGGATGCAATGCAGACACTTGGAATGGAGACACCAGGCGAGGACCTTGCTGTAGGGGTGCCCGCTGCAATGGAGCAGACTTCGGCCTGGATTGCAACGGCGGTGAAATCACTGAACTCGTGTCCCACGAACCCTCAACACTCTGTACCAGTGACCAACCATCCATGGAATTATCCATCACGCCAATGCCGATGTGTATAGCAACTATGCCCCGTATGACCCGGCTTTGCACGTCCACAGGGTAAATCACACCAGCGACACTTTGCACCACACGATCCACGTTCGGGGATGGGTGACCCTGAAGGATTTTCCAAATCAGGTGTGGTTTGTAATGGTACAGATGATGCTGAAGATAAAGGGATACGAAAACGATGGCACAACTCGTTGACAATGAGGAGAAGTGCAGTAATCTACTGTTCTAGTGATAACACCGAGACCGTCGCTCCGTCCATGCCGCCCGGGACCGCCCGGTGTCTGTGAATCTAAAACGACAAAACATGAAACTCTGAAAATATCTGCATGACCGGAAAAACGCAACTGATCAATGTTAATGCCTGCTACAGATGTCCAAAAGAAAACTGTTGGCTGAGCAGACAAAAACGAAAAATGTATACGCACAAATGAAAGTCCTTGAGCCAAAATGGAATAGAAACACAAAGAAGTTCCTTGCAAAACACAATGAACAAGTACATTAAACGCTTGCGATGTGTTGGCTGCCTCACCCGTATAGATCCGCTGGGAGCACTGCACGAGATCAAAGACTTCTCCCTTTACTGAGGTTGTCCACTCCTCTGGTGCTCGAAAGGCTGTCGGAAGACCAAATGCGAGCACAGCAGCCTGGGCAAGAGCACGGCAAGGGGTTCCCAGGGCAGGTCTTCGCTCCCACACACCTAATAACGCCACTAGTTGCTGATACGACAGCGGAGAAGGAGGAAGCTTTGCATGGACACGCAGTCCTATAACTGGGAGAAAGTTGTGGTGGAGCCACTGTGGCTGCCACTCCGCTGTCCCAAAAAGGGCTGCTGCTAATGGTAGCCAGCCAAACTGCGCCAAGTCCTCAAGTCGAGATGGTAGCCGTTGCTTAGCCCTTGTTCCAAAACCATGCAATATGACGGGCCGCATAAAGCCCGGTTCAATCTCCATGGCCTGGTACATCTTGTCTCCTGGGAGCACTTTGATCGTAACTAAACCTGGGAGGAGACTGAGTGTTGGCAGAGCTCCTTGCTCGTAAGCAGGACGGGCCCATTTATGAAAATTGGGCTGTCTGCCTTGGAATCCATCAAGAATTCCTCTCAAGTGCCCGTGGCGAGGCCACTGCCCCGTTGCCGGCACTGGAAACGTGACTAAGCCAGACCATTGCCCCAAAATGCTCCAAGCATGACACCAGTCAGCTGCACATCGAGTGGTCGTGCCTAGAAGTGGCGATCCTAGCAGTCCACTAGAAACAGCTGTTTCCGTATCACAGGGCGGTTGTGTGGTCGATAGGTAGCTATCCACATGGTCACGGTAGGCCCTGCTGGCAATAGTGGCAAGTTCGTCAGGGTCACGATCAGGGTCTACCAGGTCAGACTCTGGAATTGGGCTGCGATGCCGAGATGCCAACACGATAACCAGTCCAGCATTGATTTCCGTGAAGGCTTCACTAACCAGGATGATGCCCTTAATGGCAACCGGTTTTGATGTTTCAGCAGCAGCTTGCTTATCAGTCGATCCTTGGCACGATTGAGCCGTTGGCGTGGAGTTGTGGCTCTTTTCATCTTCTGTTGAGTGTGGGCTCGATGGCTCGGATCCCCCAAAGTCAACCTCATCCTCGAAATTCCCGGATTGGATAGGAGTTGGCGATCTACCAGTACTAGCCATCAGGTTTTCGACGCTTCGCGACTTGGGCAGTTTGATAGGAGGGCCCGGTTGTTGTTGCGTGGCTTGACCCGTGTCAACTGATCTCGCTCTTTTCTGTGCAGGAGCAATTGGACTACTCGGGATTGCTGCTGGATGCCGGCTTTCATCTGCAGGGGAGTCAGTTTCCGCGCATGAAAGCCATAGCTCTTGAATCTCGAATAATGTAACTGGCACACAGTCACTATCAATGAGAGCAAAGTTGATATCTGGGAAAAGAAAGACACACGCATCAAGAATATAGGTTCCTGCCCACGTTGGATGCACTTTAGACAGACCAGTGTCTGCCGATATAGGCACAAATACCACAGTGGTACGTTCCCCATACGGGCCTACATATTGTATCCGCTCCTTCCACCATGCCGCGACCATCGGCCAGTGACTAAGCCCTGCAGTGCTGGAGACAGTTGCTGCCAACAGATCTCTATTATCGGTGATGAGGTATACTGTTTGGAAAGATAGAAATTCATCAGCTAGGCTAATAATCCATCGAAACAGGCTGTGCCACACTGGTCCAGGAGTTACTTCCACACCATTCACAACTTTGATCTCATAGTCGTGTCGATCAGGGTCTACGGATTTCTTATGGGGGTCTCCAAACCGCCAATGTTGATGCACAGACTGGTTCAGACCGTACTCCGTCGAGATGTCTTTGTAGAGGTCTAAAGCTTCCAATAGGTCATCAAATTTCGCTCGGGGATTAGCTTCAAACCAGTGGTCTTGTGCTTGCTGCCTTGTAAGGAGATCCATACTAAGGTTGGGTGGCAAGGTCCCTGGTCCAGTCTACGGCCAGAAACAATGCTGAGCTGATATGGATTGGGGGGCCAGCAAGGTGATACCCCTGGCCAGTCTACGGCCAGAAATACCACACTGGAATCTTTGTAGGGGATATGATGATCAGCAGTGGTAACCAATTGGCAATTGCTAAGCTAGGTACACAAGCGAACAAGGGAAGGAAACAAACAAATTGCAGAGGGACGGCGCTGGAAATCCTGGACCAGTCTACGGCCAGAAAGACCAGGCACCAGACCCAAGACCACACCAAAAACCAGACAAACGAAGACAGAGAAGAGCCAAACAAACAAACAACAGAGCAGACGAAACAGGGCAATCCGATAGCCAAGAGGCAAAAAGACTGAGGAGCAAAACACCAAAAGGAGAGTAGCAATGAAGGGAGAACAAAGGGGGGCGAGAGTGTTGACACAGGCGCACAGCCAGAAAAGGGGAGAACCACCAGGGGGGAGTCAGGGGCGGAAGGGAACAGCTAAAAGCCAACCACGTAGTACCAGGGGGGGGAGGCACTGACAGTCCTGAGCCAGTCTATGGCCAGAAAAGTCAGGTACCTACAAATCCCAGGAGGAAGGCTGTACCGGTGTTAGGAGGAGGAGAGAGTGAAACAGCTGGATGAAAAAGGCACCCAGTACTAGCCAAGCAGCCCTAACAGCGGTCTGACGGAAACCAAAGCCAATTGCCAGAAAGCCGTGTCAAGGTGGGCTTTGGTTTAGGGCAACAGGACACCCCTCTATGTTCTAACTTGAGCCATAGCGGTCAGAGGCAAACAGTCACATTAGAAACGACCCGTCATTGGTCAGTTCACCAAGTGTATGGTTATGGGTTACATATGTCACTAAATCACTGTTGATGAGTAAGTCAACAACGCCTAGGGTGGCCAATTGGCGTCTTCGTTCGTGCAGCTTACCTTAAAAAAGCACGGCTTGCAATATACTCCTGTGATTTGAGCCTTGGTTAAGTCATCCACTCCGCGTCCTTTACAGCAAGTCTACCTTAGCATAATCAGAAGCTGTTACAAGCACGACAATTGTGACAGATGATCCTAGACTGCTAGAAAGGTTCACAGGGATAACGAGACGAAGAAAGTTCAAACCTCAGTTGAGCAAGAAAGCTTCAATGACAGCCGTCGCTCACTCCTTTGTTGCTCCGCGCTCTTTGGCCTTATAGGAGTGAATTTAATCTAGCTGATCCAGAAGTGTGCCTGGGTGGGCCAACCCACCAGGGCAACGAAGTTCCTCTCTGATTCGAACGGGTAGGTACAGGCCTTCCAAAACACATCGCCATCGATGCGTTGTATAGCATCCTCTCGTGATGTGTGGCCTGGAACTGTAATACTTCTGGACTAAATTGCCTAGGAGGATCTTCGCGTGGTCCGTCATGGCAGTGTCATCATAATTTGGATGTTGAGTCTCACCTCCGCTTTGTTGGATTGGAGCCGTATTGGGGAGGAGATCAGCCACTGTATCTTCCGGACCTTGGACAAAAGATATTTGTACCGCGTTAACAGATTCATGGCGTGACAAAAAGCCAAACAAGTACCATGGATGGTCACATAGCGACACAATGGGTGTGGTCCTCCACGGATCTGCCCTCGCCTCTAATAGCAATTGCACATTTATCTTATGTCGGTGCAGAACTGCCGTCATCAGAGGCGGCACTGCATCCCCTTCGGGGTGTACCATTGCATTTTCTTCTAGGAGTAGCTGGACT